TTAACCTGTTTTATTCCTTAGGGAAAATGAAATGGGTTTCATCTAAACACAGATTTAAAATTCATTTTGAGTTATACCTGCCATATTATATATTATTATTTGTTACCTGCATGTACATAATATAATATACATATTATGTGGTAAACATATAATTGTAATATAATAAACAGTATGATCTACATAAAGAGTTACAAGTTGCTTTTCTTGGGAACTATTAGGGATAACTGTAAAATCTTCTTTAACATTAAATGGTATTTCAAATTCTTATGGAATAAATAAAATATCCTTATGGCTTACAAGGGGGTAGTATGATGCTACTCTTCCTTCCTTTTTCTAAATGGAATGGTTCATAAATCTATGTATTTTATAATAATTTCCTTAAAAACAAAGAATATTTGTCTTGGACATTTTTTCTATCACATAATTTAAAATGCACCATGCAAATTAATCACCCCATAATTTGGTTGGTATGTCAAAATTAATTTATGCATTAATTTATGTTCTACAACTTGAATGTTATTTTAATATTCTTTTCATTTTAATGTATTCAAATATTGCTTCTTCTCTTTCAAATATTTATGTATTCTTTGCTAAATATTTTGTTTGATTTATGATTACAATGTCCCGAAGTTCTTTAAAGATCAGAAAAAGAAAAAACATCTGCAAAAAATTCAACGAACCATTTAATAAAAAATTTAACCATTAACCCTACAATTTCTGAAAAACAGCTTCTATATGAATTTTACACGAGTAACTAGTAAGTACTTACATACATATGTACTTACCTTGTGTAGCACGCGCGCGCATACATACCTACCACGTTTCGACCCTATATTTATCATATAATATTTTTTCGTTATTTCTTTTTATAGAATACAGTGACACAGTTTGATTGTTAAGTTTGGAGTACTGTGTATAGATTATGAAATTGTACGTATATTTCTGCTTCGTAATAAACATTTAGATAATTAGAAAATACGGAAATGTTATCTTAAAATACAACCTATTGTAATATACACATGTTTACATACATTACATATATTACATACATATGTTAGAAGATCCTTTAAAAAATTCTGGAGTGTAACATAAATAACAAACAAATTTTCAAAATGAAAGATAGAAATCAGTTGACAAAAATTAATAAATAATATACAAATATTCATAGAAATAATGTATGAATACAACCTGAAAGTCTATTATTATACAGTGTATTTATCCCAACAGTTCGTATGCTTTTTTAATCATTTGTGATATGAGAAAATAAACTGTTAATAAAAATTTACCTGTTGAGTGGGCAACAAAATCTTTTAGTGGTTAAACAGAATTATGTGGTTAAACAGAATTATATATTAGAATTTTTTTTCACACAATGTGATGCTATTTTTATTATAAAAAAAACTTCTTCAAAAAAATATTTGTTGCTATTTTATGTTGTCCACTTTATACAGATAAACTTTGTTAACAACTTTATGTATCATATTATCGTAGATGGCTGAAAAATCGTAAAAGTAGATAAAGTAAACACCGCATATATACACTGAGGTACATCAAACTTTGCTGAATCCTTAAAATTAATGCAAATGCACAGCAACGGTGGTCCCATGTGAAATGGTACATGATGTGTGCTATAGCAAATAACATATGATAAAAAGTCCATTAATTATAATAAAAGTAAGCCAAATGTGTAAAACACAAAAGATGCTGTTGGATGATACTTATGTAGATGCCTTCCTTAAACTGGCAGATATGCTAATTCTGATCAAACACCAGGAAAAAGAATATTGAAGCCATCAAAGAGTGTAACCATAATAGAATCTTGTATGAAATCAATAAATAAAGTTGATTTTGATGATCATATAATTTTAAATGAAATGTACAAAAATGTATTTGACTGTAGTATTATCAAGAATAGATAGTTTTAATTGCCACAACCCTGATGAAGTAATAATTAAGGCAGAAAAACAACTTACTTTTGATGATAATAGTTTTGAAGAATCTAAAGAGAATATTAAATACCTAGTATCGAAAAATTCTGCAATTAAAAATATTAATAAAAAGTCAACTATATGAGTACAATCTGCAACACCATTGCCAAGAATAGAATTAAATAAAAATCTTAGCACACCATCACAAAGGAAAAGTTTAAGAAGACAAAAATTTTTTCGATGAAAGTGTTGACATTCTGTATAAAACTTCACCATTGAAAAATTTACAGATGAAGCAAATTCAAATACATTAAGAAACAATTACAAAAACATATTTCTATAAGTGACAAATAAGAAATAAGTGAACATGATGAAAGTATAAGAGATTTAAGAAATAGAACTGTTACAACAAATAGTACACCTATAGTTAAGAGAAAATCCTTAAAAAAAATGTCTATTAGTATCCAAGAATCAGAACATAAGGAAAGTAAAATTCCTTTAGAGCGGAGAAGAAGAAAACATTCTCTTAAAGTCAGTACTAATGATAAAGAAAAAATGGATTTATACAGTTAGATCAATAATATGTCTTCAAAAGAAAGTAATGCCAGAGGAAGGTCTACTAGAAATGTCAAATTTTTAGGTACAGATAATTGGTAATAAACTAATATTTTATTTTCTTTCAATATAATATTTGAAGGAGTACATATTGTTGTAGAGAAAGAGGGCAGTGGTTATGAAACAAATAAATCAACATTACCTATGACTATTCATACTGGAAGTAGTAGGACACTATCTAGCAATAAAAGATGAGAATCATAGTCACAGAAGACAGCACTTTATGGGAAACACCAGAGAAATGTAATTATTTTCTTTGTTTCTTTTTTCTTTTTATTTATATTAGTCTACTGATGTTATTTACATGTAATTATAATTTTATTTCAGCTTTACAATGGGTTAGAAAGTCTCAAGATAAAAAAGTACAATCTCTGATTTAAAATTTGACTTTTTACTTATAAAACATGTTGCGCAATTTTTATAACTTATTAAATTCAGCATTTACCACCTTTTTGTTGTTAAGTTTAAAACGTTGAAATCTAATTTTATGTACTGAAACTTTTCAATTGTTTATATCATTTTGAATTATGTTAGGAATGATTCAAATGTGATATAAAA